TTTCCAGTTTTTGCACTTTTTTCTTCACCTTTTGGGTCGTTGCATCCACTTCATTCACCTTCTCAGTATTTTGTTTCATCATTTGCAATGTCTCATTTATCTGATTTTGCTGAGAGGTGATACATTGAGTCATTGTTGACATTTGTTCCTTGAAGTTATTCAGCTGTTTCAGCAGGGGGAGCATGAATTCTGCTATGAGCCAACTCACTGGTAACTTCCGGTTTCGAGCTCTCAGTACCTTTCGGTTTCGAAAGTTTTTCTTTGTCCTTCTTCCCCACCATCTTTATTGTTTGTTTACTTTCACAAATGTTTTTAAAGTCTCTGAATGTGCGCTTGAACGCTTAAACTCACTTTGGTAAGTACTTCTAGACAGTTTCTTTCACGTTTTCTTCCGCTCCCCCCCTCAAACGCTCAAAAATTCATGCGTATGGGAGGTGTCCCTCCCCCACTCGCCTTTTTCCCGTTCAGTAGGGTGGGGTGGGGAGCTATCTTTTTCCTTTGCAAACGCTTTCAAAACTGACTCACGTTCATAATTGGTCTTCCGACCTCGCTTTCAGCTTCATTTCTAACGCTCAATCTCCTACGCTTGCCCCGGTCGGCGTCACTTAAGTCCATTTGGTCCCTCAGCACGGCAAACCATCGGAACGAAGAGGCGCCTCAATTCTCCGGCATTCCGCCATCGAAGAGGCAACCTCTTATAAGTTCCATGGCCAGGGTCCCTTCGCCGGGTCCCTGGGGGGGGTTAACGAACCTGCGCACCCCCTCCATCAGCTAAAGCGCAGCTTCACCCCAGGGAGGTCCGGGAGGTGAGTCTGCTAGCGCGCCGCCAACAGCTGGAAGTAAGCAACAGCGATTTCAATTAGTATTCTACCCTAACCTGTAAGGCTCACAGTTAATGACATCATTTGCTAAATTTGTTTCTTCTCTGTAGTCAGAAGGGCACAGTACGGGTCAATAGCTGTGTGCTACTTTTAGACATCCAGATATTTTTAAGGCGGTAGTTTCCATCTTTTACCAAAAAAAAGTAGATGCATAACTTTGCCAGGAGGTTTAAAAGGTGAAAGTCCGAAGGCAAGATGAATACTGCCGAATTGTTCAGATTTTTTTGAATTGCAGTGAAGGGGAAAGATGATGTAATGGTGTAGTGAGTGGGGTAGTCAGTATAATCTAGGTATAATGCTGACCATGGCTCTTGCTGAGATTTGCGATATTCCCTCCACTACTCAAAGAAACGTAACAGGAACATTTAACTGTATGACAAGCATTTTACTCCTGGTAAATGAAAAGGTGGATTCCAGAATTCGCCAGTCAGGAAGCCTTAATTCTTCTCTCTCCCACCCACCCCTTCCCTCCTTTGCATGCTTGGCAGTCCCATCCTAATAAAATATAAGACCAGCAGCACCTTGAAGGCTAACAATATCCATTTTACTGTGAGTTTTCAAGAGCCATCATTTGCTTCTTTAGATAGCTCCTACACAGAGTTGCACTCTTCTCAACCCATTAACCAGGAGGGTGTAACTCTGCATAGGATGGCACCGCTGAGTTCTCACTTTAGTTGCATTGTCCATGACTCTTGCCTTGGGTTCTTCCAAATTCTCCTCTTCTATGTGTATGAGGGGCTTATGTATCCCCCCTCCAAGCACTTCACTGTCTGGTCTTGTTCTCTTTTCCTTTTTTCCACTCATATAACCACAAATTTTTGCTTTGCAAGTTCTGCCTACCCTTCCTCCCCCATCTACTCTCTCTTTGCCTTCAACTGGTACGTTTTGGTCCTTGGAGAAGATGGAACAGAGTTGATAAGATCTGTCATTTGTCTCCTGGGAAGAGCCAGAAATGTGTTCTACCATGTCCTCGTAGTTCTGAATAACTGGCTTCCTTTCAGTGTCCCAAAATGCTTGCCAGTGCCTTTGATCTCAACGGAAAACAAGATCCCAGTGGCTGCTGCTGGGGCACTTATTGAGGAATGAAATGTACCTTGCAATGTTGTTTTCTGCCCACCCATGAAACTACCCCATGTACATTCTTTGCTGATGACCTGTATGCAAGATATGCATTGATGGATAACTCATTTTTTAAATTTTACACGCTGTCCGTCTGCTGTTGTACTTTTAAGTTGGCACCTCCTTTTGTGTCTGACTCTCCTTTCTCAATTTGTCTTCCCTGCAGTACAAGAGGCAAATACGGGGAAGGAGTGAAGCAGGAAAAGTTCCGGTATGCCCTGTCTCTGGTCTTTATTCAGTGCGTGATCAATGCTGTTTTTGCTAAGCTATGTAAGTATTCCCAAAGGGACCATAAGCCAGCCTACTGTGTGTTCTTAGCTTAATTTTTTTAAAAAAAAACTTTTTTGGAACTGCTCAGGTTTTGAGGCATCTGCCCCAGGGCCTATGATAGGAAGGAACAGCTAGGGAGGAAATGGGTTGGGCCCCATGGATCTGCTCTGCCAGAGGGTCTTCTGTCAATAGGAGACTGCTTGTGCTGAAGGAAAGCGATGCGGCTGGAGGAACAGAACTACAGGTTCCCAACTGGGGTGTGCAATCAGATATTGCTGTCCTGGTAAAATACACAGTATTTCTAGGATCATTGGCAGCATCCTCTTCTGTGAGCGTCCCCCTCCTTGGCAGATTTCTGGGTTCAATATTTCTGTTCCCAATAATATTGGAATTGTGTCAGATAAATAGCAGGAGCAGCTAGAGAGGAGAGCATGCTGCAGCTGGTCTGCAGCCCATTGGCCCTTTAAGATTTAAAGGGCTGTCAGCTGTGTGAGCAAATGAGTTGGTGCACCACAGGATGGCTGGGGGCACTTCCTTGCCTTCGTTCCCTGTTCTTGCTGCCTCTCGACGAGGAGACAGTTGTGAAATTATCATTTTAGTTTCTTGAGCAAGCTCAGAAAGGGCCTGATTGCAGCGTACAGTAAATCGGAAGTGTTTCTGATACCTATGGAGAGTAAGCTTTCTCAACTCATATTTACGAAATGGTAACAAAACTTGTGATATGTGATGAAAAGCTTAATCGCTCCCTTATGGACCTTCCAATAAGGAATAAAAAGAATATTTGCCGTCCACCCCCAATCCTGACCAGTTATTAATCCTGTGTAAGGTACCTGCAGTCAATTGTTGTGCTTACTGTTTCACATCCACGTATGGTCACACACACCCTTCTCTGGCCTCACTGTGCCCCTGCTTTCTCACCTCCCTGATTTTTCTTCATCTCTTCCTTTGCTGCTGCATAGCTTATCCAGCCCCAGCCTCCTGTTGTACAGTTTTTCTTAGATCTCATTTCTCAAAGGCTTGTTTCCCCCCAGTCCTTCTTTCCAGTGTCCACTGCCTGCCACTCCATTCAGCTGTTGATCTTGCTGGGCCCTCTGACCCCCCCTCCCCAGCCTCTTGAGCCACCTTCTGGCACAGCTACTCCGTCCCCCTTCCTGACCCTGGATGTTGCATCCGTCTTGGCCTCACTCCTTATGTCCTTCGGCGCTTGCTGCCTCATCTACCTTGCCTTCTCGCTCAGGTGTGCCCTTCACAGCTTGCTGCTTTGCGTTGCCTCCCCGCCTTCAGCTGCCTTAAACACCCAACATTCCCTAAGCTCTCCTACTGTACGGAACCTCTCCCTGCAACTTCCTCTAGCATATTTGCCTGCATCTTCCCTTCCCTGGGCACACTGGGAGAAACTGGGTTTCCCTGGGCCTCCCACCCAGGGAGAAACTGAAGGATTTCTCAGTGTGGCTGCCAAGAGATACTCTCCCCCCCCCATTCCTCTCTTTCTCCTCCATCCCCCACTTCAGCTGCCAGCATGCTTCTCTCCTTCCCCCCTTCTCTCCCCCCCCCATATCGAGCCACCCGTTTCGATCTCTCTTGCCCTCCTCCGCTCTTTCAGCAAGGGCTGGAAAGAGGGAAGTGGGGGGGACACCCCAAAGAGGAGGGGGTCCTGTGCCTCATGTGCCTGCCTCCTTTTGCGCCTTTCCAAGCTTTGGCCACAGTTCAGAAAAGCAAAGCGGGCGGGGGGGAGGATTTCTGCCTCATGGGCTTTTTTTACCTTTAAGGACCACTTCTAACCTTTTAGATGTAGGGCCAGTGTGGCATAGTGGTTAGAGTGTCAAACTAGAACTTGGGAGTACTTGGTTTGAATCCCTTTCTCGGTCGTGGAAGCCTGCTAGGTGACCTGGGGCTCGCCTAACCTACCCTTCACAAAGCTTAATTGTCACTTCCTGAGGAGCTCTCCTTCTGGGTTTTTTTTGGTGGGGGAAGAGATTAAAGCCAAAATCCACATTTAGGCGCAGGCAAAAGGGGAGGCGGGTGGCAGAAGGGGGTGCGGAGGTCTGTACTGTCTGTACTGTGCTCTCTTCCCCCACTCCACATCCAGCAAGGAGAGGATCAGTGTGGCGCTGCAGCTGGTGTTCTAAACCAGTGCTGCACTGTCTACATCAGTGGTGGCAAACCTATGGCATGGGTGCCAGAGGTGGCACTCAGAGCCCTCTCTGTGGGCAGTGGTGGCAAACCTATGGCATGGGTGCCAGAGGTGGCACTCAGAGCCCCCTCTGTGGGCACATGTGCCATCGCCCCAGCCAGGCCGAGACCCTCATTAAAGTGTCGAATTCTCTACCAAATAATGTTAAGTAAATGAAAGCATTTGGGATTGCTTTCCTTACTTTGTTTAGATCATCTTAAGTTAATGTATGAGTTGTTTTTTTCTAAACTAAAACCTCAGTATTCAGGTTAAATTGCTGTGTTGGCACTTTGCGATATATAAGTGGGTTTTGGGTCGCAGTTTGGGCACTCTTTTCTCTAAAAGGTTCGCCATCACTGGTCTACATTGTTTTCCAGTTTGTTTCTGAGCTCAGTACAAGGTGCCTCTTTTGACCCTAAGAGCCCTAAATGGCTTGGGCTTTCAATACTTAAACTGTCTGTGTTTGCTTTGGCATTCTAATGCCCCGGCATTCTAATGTGCTGGCAGGCAGCCCAAAAGTTACACCCACGTGGTCTGCCTGCCAAGGGTGGTTTCACTTTCATTTGAAGTTCAGATGGGTCCTTCACTTTCCTTTAAGGTTCAGATGGGTCCTGGAGGTGAAATGGATCCTCCTCCTCACCCTTTGGAACATTGCTGGTCATCCAGCTGGTCTTAAACCAGACACATCATTAACTGAACCGTTAGCCAACGTACCTGTTGCGTATTTTTCCCCCTCTATGATCAGTGATCCAGTTTTTCGATACCGTCAAGGTGGATCGGACGCAGAATTGGCTGTATGGCGCTTGTTCCCTTTCCTACCTGGGAGCCATGGTCTCCAGCAACTCGGCCCTGCAGTTCGTCAACTACCCAACGCAGGTGAAGTGGGGCAGGTTGCAGGGAAAGGGGGAGATATGGGGGCGGTTACAGGAGACAGAAGAGAACCCCTTTCTGTTTAGAAAGCTCAGTATCAGCTCTGCAGCTGCCATGGACTGGGGGGGGGATGCTGAACGTGGGATAAATTGCCTCTGTCTGTTTCCGTGGAAGGCCTAGTTTCTCTTCTCAATTCATCCTTATCGCCCGTTAGTCTGAGTTGGTGACCTTGGGGCCTTGTTACTCCTTCTCCCTGGGAATCCTTACCCGTTAGCCTAGGCGGGCTTTTGCATGACTCCTGATTGGCCCCAACCACCCACTGACCCTTTTGATTTCTGTGTATCACTAGCCTGCGCGCGTTTGCTTTTAGTTCTGACAATGAGTGTATGCTCAGAAGACCTGCCTTTACTGTACTCAATAAACATAAACCTTTTGAAGGATCGTTGTTGAGGACTGATTGCTGTGGGACTCTGACACTCAGTAGCCTCTCGTGCTGAAAGCAATACCAAGCAATATAGCAAGAGCAGAAGACCCTGGTCAAAGGAAGGTGGCTTCTGATGGATTTACCCTGTTTCACTGGGGATGGTGGAAAAGCGCCCTCCAGTCGCAGCTGACTTATGGCAACCCCAGAGGGTTAGATAAAATATTACCAAAAGATATATTTATATATTATATGTTGTGCACAATGGCAAAGATTGAAAGCATAAGGTCTGAATATCAGACTGCACGGAACATTGGCATGAGCGTTACATAAGCTGTAGTAGTTTCACATACAAAGTCGATAATTTCACGTATACAGGCGATGAATAGCTCAAACGACCAACAAGGCCATATGTGTTTTGGACTCCAGGGTCTTCGTCAGTGGTCAGTAGTATATAGTATTTCACAAGACACACATTCAGAAGTTAAAGTATAAATCGGGACCAGGAGTTGGTTTCTCATATGTTGTGCGGTTGTTGAATGTTGATAAAGCAGGCCGTGGATCCCTTCTCGTGTTAACTGCACTCACGCAACAAAATCTCCAATGGTATAACAATCTGCTCTAAAATTCCCAGCGCCTCTGGACGTGTGTGTCATCAACCGAGAGTGGCAATAAAGTGGCACCCCGTAGAGTTTTTTGGCAGGAGATGAACAGAGGTGGTTTGCCATTGCCTGCCCCTGCATTGCAACCTGGACTCCCTTGGTGGTCCCCCATCCAAGTACTCGCCAAGGCGGATCCTGCTTAGCTTCCAAGACCTGACAAGACTGGGCTAGCCTGGGCCATCCAGATCAGGGCTGTTGTTCAGCTACCAGCTCTAATTTATATTTATTTATTTATATTTACATTTGTATCCCGCCCTACCCCGAAGGCTCTGAAATGGGGGCAAAGCCAGCAAACTGAGAGCCAGTTTGGTGTAGGGGTTAAGTGTGCGGACTCTAATCTGGGAGAACCGGGTTTGATTCCCCACTCCTCCACTTGCACCTGGCTGGATGACCTTGGGCAAGCCATAGTTCTGGCACAGCTGTTCTTGAAAAAGAGCAGTTTCTGTCAAGAGCTCTCTCAGCCCCACCTACCTCACAGGGTGTCTGTTGTGGGGAGGGGAAGGGAAAGGAGTTTGTAAGCCGCTCTGAGACACCTTTGGGTAGTGAAGGGCGGGGTATAAATCCAATCTCTTCTTCTTCTTCTTCAAAAATTCTCGAAGCTGGTATGTGGCCCTTCAAAGTTTATACCACGGATGGAGCAGAAGTTTTGCTTATCTTGTTAGTAACAGATGTGGAAACAGTTGACATTCAGAGGATCTGAAACGAGCCCGCTTTGGGATTGTGGGGGACCTCAGATGAGGAAGAGGGAGGAAACCAGTGAAGTGGTTTCACACCCTGCTCAACACTCGGCAAGTTTTGTTCCCTTTCCCCGTTTCCTCACAGAGGACTAGAGGGGGAAGGACAAGTTCTCCTCTTTCATGCTGGGTTTCCAGGGAGGCTGTGATTGGCGCATCCCTTGTGTTGCTCTCTAACCTTCCCTGTAGACCAGCACCAATGGGAAGTCCCTCCTCCTGCTCCTCCCCCCCCCCCCCCTAATATAACCCGAGGTGAGGACACATTAGAACTGGAGCTCAACTGGAGTGCTGCTGTTTGCTTATTTGAGCAGAGAGGTTTTTTTGTTGGTGTCCTGTTCCTTAAATGTTAGGTGAGCTGCCTTGCATGTTAATGTGATAGGCAGGCGGTGTATACATCTTTGCAAACTAAATAATTGATCCTTTCCTTTTGTATAGGTCCTTGGAAAGTCCTGTAAACCAATCCCAGGTGAGGTGCCTTTTTGCTATCGTTGACACTGTGTGCGTGCCATGCCAGGCAGACCTTTGGATCGTGCTTCGACCAAGATGATAAGGGGGCTGGAGCACCTTCCCTCTGCGGAAAGCTTGAAGAGTCTGGGACTTTTCAGTTTAGAAAAGGGACAACTGAGGGGGGGACGGATAAAAGGAAGTACTTCTTCACCCAAAGAGTGATTAACACTTGGAATTCACTGCCACAGGAAGTGGTGGCGGCTACAAGCATGGACGGCTTCAAGAGGGAATTAGATAAGCATATGGAGCAGAGGTCCATCGGTGGCTATTAGCCACAAGGTATAGATAGGGACTCTGGGGCAAGTGATGCTCTGTCTTCTTGGTGCTTGGGGGGGGGAACAGTGGGAGGGCTTCTAATGTCCTGGCCCCACTGGTGGACCTCCTGATGGCACCTGGTATTTCTGGCCACTGTGTGACACAGAGTGTTGGGTTGGATGGGCCTTTGGCCTGATCCAACATTGGCGTCTCTTATGTTCTTATGACGTGATAGAGGTTTTTAAAATTGTGCGTGGGGTATAGAGAGTTGACAAAGAGACATTTTTCTCCCCCTCCCAAAATACTAGAACTCGAGGGCATCTAATGAAGCTGATGGGTAGTGGGTTCAGGATGGACAAGAGAAAGTACTACTTCAGACAGAGGTGATTCAGAGGTGGGATTTGCTGCCAGAGGATGTAAGAACATAAGAAGAGCTGTGCTGGATCAGACCAATAGTCCCGTCTAGTCCAGCCTCCTGTCTCACACAGTGGCCAACGAGTTCCTCTGGAGAGCCAACAGCAGGGCATGGAGTCCGAGACCTTCCCCTCATGTTGCTTCCTGGCTCTGGGATTCAGATAGACTTATTCTCCATGAACCCATCTAATCCCCTTTTAAAGCTGTTTATTCCTGCGACCATCACTACATCCCATTGGGCTTTCAAGGCAAGCGATGAACAGAGGTGGTTTGCCATTGCCTGCCTCTGCATCGCCCTGCTGGTGGACCACCTGGTGGCACCTGGGTTTTGGGCCACTGTGTGAGACAGGGTGCTGGACTAGATGGACTCTCGGGTTTGATCCAGCAAGGCTCTTCTTGTGTTCTTAAGTAACAGTTGCCTTGTTCTTGCAGGATACAGGAAGGGATGGACTGGAGTGTCAGAGGAATTGGGGGGGGCAAAGACGGGCATTGGTGTGGGGGTCATGTGGCTCATAGGGCTGAAAGGAGAGGGTATTGGGGATGTACTGAAGGTGCTCGTGCTGGTGGGGGGTTTGATGCATTCTCCTTCCTACAGCTGCTCTCTGCAATCCACAGAAACCTAGAAGTCCTGGGATCCCCATGGACAAAGAGCTGTGGGTGGGCTGCAGCAAGGAGGGGAAAGTGGGCAGAAGCACCCCTGCCTTGCTGTGCCCCACTCCCTCCGCCCAGTCTGTGTGGCAGTGCAAGAGGAAGATGGGTGATTTTTCTTGACTCCCTCTTTCCTCTGTAGCCTCACCTACACTCAGTGGCATCTTGCCGGAGCAAGTCCTGCAACCCGCAGAAATGCCTTTTCAGAGGGCTGCAATGTGAGGAGGAATGCAGAAGGAAGATCAGCCACCGACCCCAAGAAAGTTGTACAGACTTAATGGCCATGTGGGTTGCAATACGGAGGGCAAAGGGTAGCAAGATCCCACCCCCATCAGCATCACATTCCCTTCCCCTAGCATATCCCAGCCCCCTGACTCATGTGGCTGTTAGTTCATGTGGGTCCCGCAACTAACTTTCCTGTGGTTGGAAAGTACTGCTTGAGGTAGGAGGAGAGGCGAAGATCCATGACTCAGCACCTTCTGGTTCCAGATTGCTGGACCCAGCCCCTAGAGAGCTTCCTCTTAATCAGAAGGAGCACCAAGTACTCTGCGGACTATTAATATTTGGTGTTTCTTCTGTGGAGGGTCACCTTTTGTACCATACTCTGAGTTGCATGCACACATGGATGGTTTCAGTAGAAACTGGCCATCTGTTTGTCCTCTCCCCTTTTTCTCCTTCCCTTTTTAGGCTAGACAGATTATGCACCACGCCCCTCTGAGTTTTACACTATCTTTTAATCATACTGTTAGCTTATAATATAATGTAGGTAAAGGTAAAGGTTTCCCTTGCTCGAAAGCCAGTCGAGTCCGACTCTAGGGTTGCGGTGCTCATCTCCGTTTCAAAGCTGAAGAGCCAGTGCTGTCCAAAGACGTTTCCGTGGTCATGTGGCCGGCACGACTAAACACCAAGGCGCACGGAACGCTGTAACCTTCCCACCAAAGTGGTACCTGTTTATCTACTTGCAATTTCTTGCTTTCGAACTGCTAGGCTGGCAGGAGCTGGAACTAGAGACGGGAGCTCACTCCGTCATGCGGCACACTCGGGTCTCGAACTGCTGAACTACCGACCTTCCACACAGCCTGCAGTTCAGCATCTTAACCACTTGAGCCACCGCAGCTCCTTATAATATAATGTCGTTTTATCGTATATTATTATGTATTTTATTGTATTTATTGTACTATGTATTGGAATGTTTTTATCATGATGGTATCCGCTCTGAGCCTGGACAGAGGGAGAGTGGGATACAAATCTAATAAATCATTTCCAGAGAGGATTCTGCCAACAGGGTCAACCCCTGGAGAATGGAGTCTGGGTGGGGGCTGTGGATAACCAAATCAGGCCTTGCTTGTCTTCATTTCCTGCTCATTCAAAACTTGATTCCAAAGAACTAGTTTGGAGGAGAACTTGGCAGTGTCTGCAGTCAAACACGAGAGGGAAGGGATGGTGGTATGGCGCCCCCTCTTGAGGAATAAGGGCTTTTATAGCTGTTACTGAGATGGGCATACACGTGCATCGCTGTGAGAGACAGGATCCTTGCTGCTGCATAGGAATGGATGTTGCAGGCAATTTCAGTGGTCGTTGGCTAGTTAACATTTCCTAGCTGGGCCCTCTGGGAGTGCTGCTGTTGTTGTTGTTTTTCTCACAGCACTTTCTCTCTCCGCAGTCATGCTTCTAGGGGTGACAGTCCTGAGGAAGAAGTACCCCATGTCCAAATACCTGTGTGTCTTACTGATAGTCACGGGCGTGGCCCTTTTCATGTACAAGCCGAAGAAGGGAGGCGACATTCTGGACGAGCATCTCTTCGGGTATGGTGAGCTCCTGCTGGTAAGCACTGACCTCTTTGGAGCCTGCACTGGCCACAGGAGTGGAGCGGGAGCTGCTTCCCGTTAGGGAGGGTAGGCAAGAGGAGGAAAGGGATGGCGGCTACTGAAAACACAAGGCTTGCCCTAACTGGGTGCCAGCTTGGTTCTTAGCGCTTCTCTTGGTGCAAGGCGCAGTGGGTCACAAGCGGCTGCAGCTGTTGCTAGTTCTCAGTCAGGAAGGAGATAGGGAAATGCAGGGAAGTTCCCAGCTGGGTCAAGTCCAGCATGATTTTCAGGACTCTGTCAGATGAAGGCCCCACCGTTTCCCTGCATTGAGCACTACACTCTGTAAGGGGTCCCCGACCTTTTTGAGACTACGGGCACCTCTGGGCCACGGACCCCTTGTGGTAGGTGCAGCCACCAAATGGCTGCCGCAAGAGGTGGAACCCGCAACAAAATAGCAGCCCCGGCTTCCTTGAAATCACACAGTGAAGATCCTTGTGCAGCGGCGGCAGCTGCTGTCAAATTAGCGTTTTTAAAAATCTGCAAAGCCAATCAGATTGCCGGTGGCCAACCAGAATCCTTGCTGGGCAAAAGCCTCACCCGGCTCCACCCACTTTCCAAAAAACACTTGGTGGGCACTAGGAAAGGTGTCGGTGGACCCCACGGGCACCACGTTGGGAACCCCTGGTGCGCATCTGAAGCGTGTCATGTTTTCTAAGCCTGGTGTCATATCCAGCCTCATGGGCTATATTCCTTGTGTCCTCTACCCAGTCTCTCACAGACAAAGAAGGGAGGGGTTTTCTTGGCCACCCTCGTCAGCATCCTTCTCACCCTCAACTCTGTTCTGCCAGAGCTGGAAACCAGAGTTGGCCTGTCCTCCTCGTCTTCCACCCTTTTATAGGCCTCACCAGGCTCCGTGCAGGCCCAGTAAGGCCCCTTTTTTAGGTCTTGCAAGAGGAGGCTACCTCGTCCCAGGAGACAAGGAATGACTCCGCCAACAGCCATAGTATATCTCGCCCATAGGCTGTCAACCACCCAACAGCCGATTATTGATTGGAAAGAACTTAAAGTTGGGGTGTCAAACATGCAGCCTGGGGGCCAAATCAGGCCCCCGGAGGGCTTCTATCAGGCCCGCAGTGGAACTGGCTGTCTTCTGCTTCTTCTTCCAGTGCTGCTGCTGCGTCATTGTAGGTTTGCAGCTACAGGTACACACCTGAACAGCATATTCAAGATTGCAAGAGCACAGGCATTTTGATGTGTCAGTTATCAGACACTGTTAAATAAACAAAATATTGCAAGAGTGCTAATATTTTAAGCATGTTTTTATTTTAAGTAAAAAAAAACAACCTTCGTGTTTGTGTCCTTTATAAAGTTTTTATCTCCACTACCTGGCATTACATTTTATGGCACACATGGCCAGGCCCAACAAGATCTCATTTATGTCAGATCTGGCCCTCATAACAAATGAATTCGACACTCCTGCTTTAAAGGGTCACTCGTTATCTGTGGCAGAGGCTGCTCAGGTGGACAGCAAGCCAGTCTCCTGAGGAGCGTAGAAGATGGGGAGGGGCTAGAGATTTTTATGGGGGTGGTGACGGGTAGGCGGACATAAATACAGAAGCAAGGAAGGCAGGGAATGTGCGTCTCAGGAGTGGAATAGTGCAGAAAACTTGGCCAGTTTTTAAATCTTTTATTGGCCAGCTTCCCAGATGGTGTCATTTTCTGTCCTTGAGGGGTAGGTATTTGTCCCTATCTAAAGCAGCAATCTGCGTGGCCTCTGTAATACCACCAATGTCTGTACTGCAGAGCCACATTTTGATTCTTGCTAAGCAGTCATAACTCTGAAGAGTGGGTGTTTACTTGTGTGTTAAATCCACTTGCAAAGCAGGTACCATTTTCAGCATATGTGAAGAGTATCTGTGTGTGATTTCCGCCCTCCCCCTCCAGTTGCTGTCTTTGACGTTGGACGGACTGACCGGAGTGTCCCAAGACCACATGAGAGCGCACTATCAAACTGGTTCCAATCACATGATGCTGAATGTTAATCTGTGGTCCACAGTATTCCTAGGAGCTGGTAAGGACTTTGCTTGCAGCGCAAAGGAGGGAAATGCACAGCAGTCTGGTCTGAACGCGGGAATCCTGGCCCCGGCTGTCATGGGAGCAGTGGAAGGCTGTACACATGCTGGTGTGCACCCATGGCCCAGCACGTGTTCTTTTGGGTGCAGTGAGAATCCCGATAAACATAAACTCATAAAATGGTTCTGCACATGTGACTTCATTTGTCGATTGATTTATTTAGACTATTTCTATGCCGCCTCTTCAGAGTCCTGCTTGAGGCAAGCTTACAGTTAAAAACCACAGTCTGAAACACAAGTTATTACCAAAAAAGGGACAGTCTTTCCCTGGCCCCTTGAATCCCCACATGGATTGCATTTCGTGTGCCACGGTGGGTATTTCCTGGATGAGCAGTAATTGCAAGCCAGAAAAAGACAGCAAAAAACCTTAACCCAAAACAAATTGCTTTAAGTACCTATGGTTAAGAAAATATAAACATACAGGCCAAATAATGCCATTGGTCAATTAAAAATTAGCCAATATATGAAAATGTATGTATTTATTATGCAATAGATTAAAAACCAATACTGACCCTTACAATACAATACGAGAACTAGTGAGCAGTTAATGAAATTAATGAGCAGTAGGCTTAGAACAGATCTTCACTCAAAGAGTCGAATTAACATGTGGAATTCATTGCCGCAGAAAATGGTGGCAGCTACAAGCATAGACAGCTTCAAGAGGGGATTGGATAAACATATGGAGCAAAGCTCTATCAGTGGATGTTATATGTCTGGGGCAGTGATGCTCTGTATTCTTGTTACTTGGGGGCAGCTGGGAGGTCATCTGGAGTTCTGGCCCCACTGGTGGACCTCCTGATAGCACCTGGGTTTTGGCCACTGTGTGACACAGAGTGTTGGACTGGATGGGCCATTGGCCTGATCCAACATGGCTTCTCTTATGTTCTTATGTAATAACTTCAATTATCATTAACAATCTGTAATGACATACAAAAGTGACAAATATTGACCCCGACCAGACGCGTTTCAGCCCAACTGGCCTTCCTCGGTCAAACATTGCAACATGGCTCCTGGCATAATAATATAACATGCATACATCGTAAACTGCCCCAAGGTATATTCTGATAATGCTAGTCTATGACCAAGGGAAAGAATATCAGTCATAAACCTTATCCTAAAGAATGCACAGCCATGGTCCAGTATCCTTATCCTTGTGGCAATGATTCAATCATGTACCTTTCTCACTTGGTCAGAAAAGTCCTATTTATGATGTGCGCATGTAGGCAACAATATTATCTGGGCAGTAAGCTTGGCCAGCAGGTCGATGTAAAGCCAGGCAGGCTGGTGCTCGTGTTCTACCCTAGCTGTGCTCTACCCCACCCCTTCTAGTAAGTGGAAGCCACCAAGCCAGCCTCTCCTGTTCCTTCCAGGCTGTAGCTGCTCTTCAGTTCTTCAAGCAGCCATGGAGCGGTGCTGCTGCCACCCGCTCGGAAAGCCATTCCCGTCCGCAGTCCAGTTTTGCTCATTTGCTGTCCGTTCCACCGTGTGGGGTCTCCCTTGCTCCAGCAACTGGGGTGACGGGGGGGCTGCCTGCTTCCCCATTCCGCTCGACCTACAAGAGTTAAAACCTCGTAATTTATTTCCGTGCGCCATTGTTCAGACTTCTCCGTCGAGGCCGCCTTAGGAGAAAGAGTTGGATAATTAATGAAAAGGAGCGGTCCCTTGCAGCCGAAGTAATTTGGAGAATGATTGTTTCCCTCTGTAGTGTCTAAAAAAAAGAAGGAAAAACACAAAAGGTTTGGGAAAGCGCAAAGCTGAATTCCACTTGAAGCTGCAAAAGAGGTTTGTGTGCCGGGAGACCGGTTGCCTCCGAACGATTACAATACAACTCCCCAGAATGGGAGTGTGTCAGAGGCTCCTGCTCTCCGTGAAGCATGGCTTGAATTGCAGGGGTGGGGGTGGGGAATCAAAAACCTCAGCCCTGCCAAGCTCACTTTGTGTATGTGCCCTTCTTTCCACCCCAGGGTGGACCCAGAACCCTGCTGGATCAAACCAGTAGTCCATCTAGTCCAGCCTCCTGTCTCACACAGTGGCCAGCCAGTTCCTCTAGAGGGCCAACAACACAGCATAGAGGCTGAGATCTGCGATAAGAACATAAGAAGACCCCTGCTAGATCAGAACAATGGTCCATGTAGTCCAGCCTCCTGTCTCACAGAGTGGACAACCAGTTCCTCTGGAGGGCCAACAACACAGCATAGAGGCTGAGATCTTCTGCGATAAGAACATAAGAAGACCCCTGGTAGATCAGAACAATGGTCCATCTAGTCCAGCCTCCTGTCTCACAGAGTGGCCAACCAGTTCCTCTGGAGAGCCAACAACACGACATAGAGGCTGAGATCTTCTGCGATAAGAACATAAGAAGACCCCTGCTAGATCAGAACAATGGTCCATCTAGTCCAGTCTCCTGTCTCACACAGTGGCCAATCAGTTCCTCTGGAGGGCCAACAACACGGCATAGAGGCTGAGATCTTCTGCGATAAGAGCAGAAGAAGAGCCCTGCTAGATCAGAACAACGGTCCATCTAGTCCAGCATCTTATCTGACACAGTGGCCAACCAGTTCCTCTGGAGGAACAGCAGCAGGGCATCGATGCTGAAGCATCTCCCTGATGTTGCCTCCTGGCTCTGGGATTCAGGGGTTGACTGCCTCTGAACATGGAGATTCCCATCAGTCACTATGGCTAGTAGCTACTGATAGACCTGTCCTCCTACTCCCAAAGCAGCTTACAGTGTTATTCTGCCCTTTTGTTTTATCCTTACAACAACCCTGAGAGGTGGGTTAGCCCAAGAGTGACGGGCACAAGGCCACCCTAGCAAGCTTCCATGGGTAAGAGGGGATTCGAACCTGGGTCCCTCAGGTCCTAGTTGGGCATCCTAGCTGCTGTACTCTAGCCAATCTAGGCTGGGGAAAGGTTCTTTCTGACTGCACACAGGATGTGTGAGGTCAAGCTCACCCCTTGAATTTTTCCATGAAGGTCCCACTCCTCCTTTTCTCACTAGTGAAAAAGCTGGTTGGATGGATCCAGGCTCAGCAGTTTAAATTCCAGTTGCCGTGTCAATGGTCAAAAAGCCCTTCCTTTCAAGCTCCTTTGACCCAAGAAACTTGAGCAGCAAATAAAGAGCTTTTATTTCTTTAAGGAAAATATGGTGGAAAGGTATTTGGCCACTGCCAACATAGTCCTTGGATCTCTGTCCACCAGCAAATAGGGGGCTATGTTATCTTTTGTTACAGTGGAAGGAAGTTTGATTAAAGTAGGGGCAATCCAGAAATCACGGTGAGTTATAGTGAGGGTATTCCAATATCATATCAGGTAGGGAGTCCCATCTTTTTCAGCTCGCACTGGCAAAGCCTGTAAGGGGGATTACAATATCTCCCATATAAGACTGCCAGAGGGGCAGCGTTCAAACGTGCAAGCATAAATGCTCTACAGTAACAAGGGACTGTTAAGTACCTGGTATAAGTTGGGATGGTGAGAGACGGGAGGATACCGAAGAACTGGGTAGAGTATACTCTCCGGACCTTTCTAAATAAAACAGCTTTATGAGTTCTCCTAAATGCCTGGCCAACAGTGTTTCCTCTAAGCTGAGTTAGTGTGAGCTAGCTCACAGCTTTTTAGCCTCCGGCTCACACATTTTTGCCTTAGCTCAGGAAGGAGGGCTCCAGAGCACCCTAATTTATGCAGGAGCCAAATCTCTCGCTCACAACTTTAAGGCAAGTAGCTCACAAAGTAGAATTTTTGCTCACAGGACTCCACAGCTTAGAGGGAACCTTGCTGGCCAAGAAGGTATTTTGTGGATCTCTTCCAGACGATTGTTCCAAAGGGGCTGGGGCTATAACCCAAAAGGCCTAACGCTAGCCTAAGTGTCCTAATAGAGGGAAATTATTGTAAGCGGCTTCCTCTGTCCTTACATCCTAGATGAAAGCAAGCCTCTCCTCTCCCCTTTGTTTGTGGGAGCGGAGGGGCTTTGCAGCTGTGACAGGCTGCATCTGAAATTCTGGAAGAAACTTTTGAAGGCCCCAGAGCCTACTGTGAGAGTTCTGACTGTCACCGCAGCAGGTTGGAAAAGGATGCCTGTGGCTGCTTTAGATGATGCTTATGCCTCGGTTGGTGGAGCCAGCATGGTGTAGTGGTTAAGAGTGGCTGATTCTGTTCTGGAGAACCAGGTTTGATTCCCCACTCCTCCTCCACATGCATCCAGCTGGGTGACCTTGAGCCAGTCACAGTTCTCTCAGAACCCTCTCAGCCCCATCCACCTCACAAGGTGACTGTTGTCAGGAGAGGAAGGGGAGGCGATTGTAAGCTGCTTTGAGACACATGAGGCCTCTGCTGGGTGACCTTGGGCCATTGACCGTTCTCTCAGAACTCTCTCGGCCCCAACTGCCTCACAAGGTGACTGTAGTGGGGAGAGGAAGGGAAGGTGATTGTAAGCCTCTCTGAGACACATGAGGCCTGCTGGGTGATTTTGGGCCAGTCGTGGTCCTCTCAGAACTCTCCCAACCCTACCTACCTCATAGGGTGACTGTTGTCAGGAGAGGAAGGGAAGGCGATTGTAAGCTGCTTTGAGACACATGAGGCCTCTGCTGGGTGACAGTAAGACTTTTCTCTCAGAACTCCCTCAGCCCCACCTGCCTCACAAGGTGACTGTTGTGGGGACCGGAAGGGAAGGAGATTGCAGGCCTCTTTGAGACTCCTTAGGACAGAGAAAAGGGGTGAATAAAAACCAACTCTTCTTCATTCTTTTTGTTTGCTTGCATTTCTCTATTTCTCCTGCCCTTCCTCCCCAGGTGTTCAGAGTGAGGTACGTGGCTTTTGTCCACCCCCACCACCAATGTTCCCTCTAAGCTGTGGGGTCTTGTGAGCGAAAATCCTACTTTGTGAGCTACCGGCATTAAAGTGGTGAGCGAGCAATTTGGCTGCTGCATAAATTAGTTTGCTCTGGAGCCCTCCTTCCTGAGCGAAGACAAAAATGTGTGAGCCGGAGGCTAAAAATCTGTGAGCTAGCTCACACTAACTCAGCTTAGAGGGAACACTGCCCACCACCCATATTCTTGCAGCAACCCTGTGAGTTAGGTTAGAGAATGGCTGGCTGAAGCCACCCAGCAATCTTCCTAGCAGAGTAGAGATTTGAACCCAGGCCTAACTCCTGGCACCATGCCACACTGGTTCATCGTTCCATTCATGCCTGCTTGGAAGCGGCGTGTGGGGCTCTCTCTTTGTGACCGAAAAGTCACGTGTGCTGGAAGGAGTGTGTTGCGTACAAAACACCCACACCTAACGCGAGGATGTCCTTCGCTCCAGGCAGGTGAAATCGGCACACCGAGCTGGGAGTGGAAAGGGATGCTGCCACGTTCTTCCAGGCTTCCCTGGCAGCCAGCCCTCTAAATTAGGCCGGAACCAGTTTGCCCAGTGGAACCGGATGGTGGCTAAAGGGGAAAAATACGAGCGGAGAGAGGGAGAGCAAATAAGAAATATCTGGGAGAGGTGCGGATTGCTGGAGAATGAGGCCGGGGCGGTTGCAAAAGAGAAGAGGCTGGTCTGTGGGTGAATGGGAGGCTGCCCCAGAGCTCCCCATCCCTGGGAAGTGTGGGAAGAGGCCTTGTTCCAGTCGTGTCCGTGAGACTAAAGTGCTTAGGAGTGCATGCTAGCAAAGCGCTGGCCCCTCCTGCTCTGCCTCACGTGTTTTCTGGGAGAGCAGAATAGGAGCTGCAGGCCGCCGATCGCGGTGGGAAGTGCCGTCCAGTTGTGGTTAGCATATGGCGTGGCGACCCCCGTGGGGTTTCCAAGGCAAGAGGCCAACAGGTGACTTGCCATTGCCTGCTTCTGCGTCAAAACCCCGGGCTTCCTAGTGGTCCCCCATCCAAGTACTAACCACGGCCGAACCCTGCTAGCCTGGGCGATTGAATAAAATCCCGTTCTTACTGAGTCCTGACCTGGATAGCCCAGGCGAGCCTGATCTCGTCAGATCCTGGAAGCTAAGCGGGATTGGCCTTGCTAGTATTTAGAAGGGTGACCTCCAAGGAATACCAGGGCCATGATGCAGAGGCAGGCAACGGCAAACCACCTCTGAATCATCTCTTGCCTTACAAACAAGTCTAGCTCACCACCTAGCGGTGTATAACGCTAAAGGGCCAGCTTTCAGCTGCCAGACAATCTTAGGATCTCCCGGCTATAGTACACACAATACCATGTGATAATTAAATAATTATTATTATGTTCTTATGGATGTTGCCAGCCCTTTAGTAACTTGACACCTACAAAACCTGCTTAACAGCAAAGAAAACAAGCACATTGACTAAAGGATGTTGTGTTATCTGAATGTAGCCCAGCTCTGAATGGGCACGAAGGCCAATTTAGCTGTACTCACAGACATCCCCTCACTCCTTCCACCTCCCTTTGTGCAAGAGAGCCAGCATGATGTAGTGGTTAGAGGGCTGGACTAGGATCTAGAAGACTTGGGTTGAAATTCAGCTGTGGAAGCTAGCTGGGTGTCCTTGGGCCAATCGCAATTACTCAGCCTAGTTCACGGTCAGGCCTGTAGACACTACTCTTTAAGTTCCTGCTCCGAGCTGGCCCGTGCCACTGCCCAAGCCCCCAACGTGTGGTCCCGCTCAAAAAAAATCTCCTAGCTACAGGGTAGTCATATTGAGAATAAAATGGAGAAGGGGAGAATGGAGTGAGCCACTTTAGGTCCCCATTGGAGAGAAAAGTGGTGTATAAATAGCTAAGTGGCATGCTCCTAGGGTGGCCATTGTAGGGACCTGTGAAGTATGCTCTCTTCCCACAAGCTGGGATTCTAAATTGATTAAATCAAGTTTCAGAATCCCGTCTTTGGTAAAGTAAAGTAATGTTGCATGACGCTGCCTTATAGAATCAGGTCCAGTGTTATCTGCTCTGACTGGCAGTAGCTCTCCAGGATCTCGTACAGAGGTCTTTCACATCAACTACCCCCTGGTCCTTTTTTGATAGGCGGTGCTAAGAACTGAACCCAGGATCCTCTGCATACAAAGCAGCTGTTCTGCCCCTGAGCCGTGGCCCCCTCCCAGAACTTCAGCTCAGCAACACACCCACTTGAAACAAGCTCAGCCTACTAGAGGGAGGTGGGGGGAGAGAGGAAACCGTGTGAGCACGGCGATGGGCCACCTTAAGGCACAGAGCTGAATTGGAGTTTAAATTGCACTTGCCGTGATATCTGAGCCCAGCTATTCTTTAAGCATACAAACCTGCCTGCATTCAAATGGTGCCTGTAGGGTTAATACCAGCAACCTTGGATGAAGGGAGGGCTTTAATCTTAAATGCTTGTTGGGGAACGAGTGTCTTGCTTGTTGGGGAACGATCCAGAGAAATACAAGACTGAAAGGTGAATTCAGAATTGCAGTGCAACTCTGAAAAGGGTTTGCCAAAACCATCAGCAACATTCAAAAGTGTGCTAGAATATATTTTTTTTACAAAATCACATTTTGGTGATCTCTCATCATTTGAAATGTGGTGTTGGCAGAGAGTTTTACAGAGACCACCGAATGCGAAAAAGACAAAATAAGTGGGTTCTAGACAGGGGTCATTTCGTAGAAAAAGAAATGCAGGAGCTCATTAGCATAACTCATTAGCATAACTTATTTGCATATGCCACACACCCTGACATCACCGGAAGTATGTCAGAAGGCAACACCCACCACTCAGGCTCCACTGGACTGTTTTGGATTGCTAGCTATTGGGGGGGGAGGGACATGCAGATCTGTCCTCGCAGAGGAGGGAGAGCTTGTACCTGAATAAAACTTGGTCTTAAAGGTGCCAATGGACTGCTTTGGACTGGGGAGGCGGGGGGGAGGCTCTGCAACTCACCTGACTGCTTCTTGCTCTGACTGAGGGCTGCTGGGAGCAGGGGGTGGGGCTTGTTGCATGTGCCCGCCCCCTGGGCTCTTTACTGCCGGAGCTCCGCTCCTGTGCGCTCCTGCAGGAAATGACCCCTGGTTCTAGATCAAATCAAGGCTGAACTCTCCCTGGAAGCTAAAATGACTAAACTGAGGCTATCGTACTTTGGTCCTATTACAAGACGACTGGAAAAGACAATAATGCTGGTAAAAGCAGAAGGCAGCAGCAAAAGAGGGAGACCCAACAGGAGATGGAGGGACTCAGTCAAGGAAGCCACGAGGGCCCTCCGTTTGCAACACCCGAGCAAGGCTGTGAATGGCAGGGCATTTTGAAGGTCATTCATTCATAGGGTCGCCATAAGTTGGGAGAGACTTTTTAAAAAGATATATATATTATTTATAAATTTTAACTTTATAACAGTAAAAGATAATAAAAAACAATAATACAGCATAAACAGATCTTTCATAACAATATACATAAAACTTAAAATAGCAACAGGTTTTGAAAATATTGGCTTATAATACGTACTTCAAAACATTGAAATCATTTCACGGTATCTTTGAGGTCTAGAATGAGCAGGTCCAATGGCATTCGTAAATATCGCCTCAAGCAACGGAAGCCATTTAGAGAAGAAAAAAGTTTGGGAGTTATAATTATTAGAGGAAGGCACCGAAACTGCGATTTTTTTTCCATAGCGTAAAATCCCCAAATTTTAACATACCATTGATGGGGAGTTAATGAGTTAGAACTCTTTGGAAGAGACTTGATGGCGCTTAATACATACACATGACCTCTCTTCCCATAACCCCACTGAACAATCACCTTGCTCGCTTATCTTTCTGTGCAAAGTGCCCATGGGCATTTGATGGAGCCCACTAAATTACAGTCGTCATCCGTGTGTGTGACATGTTCTGCCTGCACACGTGCACCCAATACACAAGAGCAAGAGGTGGTGCAGAAGGCAGTTTCTTAACAGTCTGGTCTTCATCTCAGCCCATGAGGAAAAGAGAGAACCAAAACCGAGCGTGCTGAGCCTGGTGTATTGTTAGCCCGATCCGGCATGGCCGTTACCCACTGCCCCATAGACGACTTGATCCTTGCATCTGGTTTTGAATCCTTGGATGAAGGGGAAGGTTGAGGAGTGGTTGAGGACTGTTAGTGTGGCTACTGCTTCTTCAGTCCTGGTGGTTTTTATGCAGGTAGGTGACATATGCAGTTGTACGAGCCAGTTTGGTGTAGTGGTTAAGGGCGCAGACTCTAATCTGGGAGAACCGGGTTTGATCCCCCACTCCTCCACTTGCACCTGGCTGGATGACCTTGGGCAAGCCGTAGTTCTGATAAGAGCTGTTCTTGAAAAAAGAGCAGTTTCTGTCAGAGCTACCTCATAGAGTGTCTATTGTGGGGAGGGGAAGGGAAAGGAGTTTGTAAGCCACTCTGAGACATCTTTGGGTAGTGAAGGCCGGGGTATAAATCCAATCTCCTCTTCTTCTAAGAGCCTGGTACCTGATTGACAAAAACAGTGAAAAAGTTCGTTTTGTTCTTAGTGTCTCTTTTTCCCTCCCCCTGCAGGTATCTTATTCACAGGAGAGCTCTGGGAGTTCTTGAGCTTCACAGAACGTTACCCCAGCATCATGTACAACATTCTTCTCTTTGGCCTCACAAGTGCTCTGGGCCAGGTGAGCGGCCTGTTTACATACCAAGGGGGTTGATTCAGCTGCATAGCCTGTGTTTTAAGCCAATCTTCAGTTTGCTCCTACCCTTCATTTTGTTTTCAAGGGGGGGTTGAGAGAAAAGTAGAACATGGGTTTTCATGCACTAAGGGAGAACAAAAGGTTTTGGCCCCGGAAAAGGAAATTCTGCTCCTCTATTTTGGACCCAGGGGAGAAGGATTTACTTTGTGCTCCGGAGGTGTCAGCCTTGCCCAGGGCTCTTTTTGTAGAAAAAGCCCAGCAGGAACTCATTAGCATAATAGGCCACACCCAACAGCAGGAACTCATTAGCCTATTGGGCCACACCCCTGACAGCACAGCTCATTAGCACATTAGGCCACACCCCCATGTTACCAGAAGTGTGGTCATCCAGCCACACCCACCTTTTGCTTCTTATTCTGTTTACCTTGTTTGTTGTCAAAACACAGGGCTTTTTTTGTAGCAGGAACTCCTTTGCATGTTAGGCCACACACCCCTAATGTAGCCAATCCTAATGAGTTTCTGATGCTGGGTGTGGCCTATTATCCTAATGAGTTCCTGCTGGGCGTGGCCAACTTGGGAGCCAGCCGGAACTCCGTTCCTGTGCGCTCCTGCCCAAAAATAGCCCTGGCCTTGCCCCTTTTTTAAACATCCCAAGGGGAGGAAGAGCAATAAATGACATTTGGTTGCACCTGAGCGCAGTCCAAATTCAGCAGCACTGAAGTGAACTAGGGATAGCCACAAACCTCGCCACGAACCTAATTTTGTGACAAACATCGCTTGGTTCATGGTTTGTGAGCTGAGAATAGTGCGATCATGCCTGCAACAAACCTCTATGTTTTTCACGGAGGTTTGTACAGTCCGTGTCTGCAGTTCATGCGTGAGTGAAATCACTCTTGTGGGTGAACTCACCGCTTGGACTTCACTCTTGCGTTTGCAAAAGCCATTTAAAGGGAACAAACCATGAACCAGGACAAACCTCCAATTTCCCAGTTCGTGCCCATCCCTAAAGAAAACTGCCTTGGGGGAAGGCACCCTGAAGGGCACAAGCTCTCATGAACCTATGAAGCAATCTTCAACTAACCGTTGGACCCTCTAGCTTAGTATCAGCTCTTCTCTGATTGATAGAGGCTCTTCAGGATCTCGGGACCTGAAAGGTCTCTCTCAGCACCTGCTATGCAGATGCTGGGGTCTGATTCTGGAGCCATCTGCATGCAAAGCAGATAGCTCTAACCCATCGCCTCCTTGAACGGACATAAGAAGCTGCCTTGAGCCAGTCTGGTGTAGTGGTTAAGTGCGTGGACTCTAATCTGGGAGAACCGGGTTTGATTTCCCACTCCTCCACTTGCACCTGCTGGATGACCTTGGGCAAGCCATAGCTCTGTCAGAGCTATTCTTGAAAGGACAATTCTTGAAAGAGCTCTCTCAGCCCCACCTACCTTACTGGGTGTCTGTTGTGGGGAGGGGAAGGGGAAGGAATTTGTAAGCTGCTCTGAGACTCCAAGTGAAAGATGGGGTATAAATCCAATCTCCTCCTCCTCTTCTTCATCTTCATCTTCGTCTTGATGGTCCATTGGTCCATTAAGCTTAGTATTAAGATTAGAAGCGGCTTCCCAGGCAACAGAAAAGTCCATCTCAGCACCGCTGAGCCTTTTAAGATAGAGATGTTCTGGACTGAATCTGGAGCTTCTATATGCACAGCAAGGTGCTCTACCTAGAGATCTAGATTTGCCAGAATTGCGGAAGCCATGGAATCCCCCCCCCTGAAACAATGGAAATGGTTTATTTAAAAAAATATGTGCAGTACTCACTTCAATGTAGTAAGTATTCCACATAGGACAGTTTTATATGCTAACAAAAGCTGCAAATGATTGGTTTTGTGTTCTTAAAGCAACAAGATTAAGGTAGGCTTGATAAGCAAATATCAGTGCCTGCGTTTTGTTCAAATGAAGTTGCAAATACTAGAGAGACAGAGATGCCAGTAGATAAATAAGCACATAGTTTTTGCCATGTGGAATGTAGGAAAAAATAGAAGTTGAGAATAAAAACAGTAAGTTTTGTGACAAACAGAAGAAGGTACATTACTTGGACTTGAACAGGCTACATGCAGTCACTGTCTTAAAGACGGCGGATTTGGCTCAGAGCTGACTATAACAGCACTGAACACATTGACCTCTTGAATCATGTATCTTCATCTGCACAGTGTGTCCTCATTGTGGGGAAAAACTGGTCCCATTTAAACAATATATCTTTGCAGCTATGTTGTATGCTGTCTATACAAGAATAACGCTTCTGTAATGCTGTTGGTTCTTGCATAAAAATCTTCACACTACTCATTTTAAGTGAGTAAAACATTGCCTTAAAAGCATTTTGTTTAAAACCAGAGCATATTTCATAGAAAGTTTTTGTCCCCTAAAATTTCCCCTTTTTTTTCAAACTGGAAAAATTGAAAGGGGGGGAGGATAATGCTCCCACAGCTCTAGGCTAGCCTCTAGCTCCACTATCTCCAGCCCCTCTTGGAAGCTTAGTGTCCTGGCCCCACTGCTGGACCCCCTGATGGCACCTGGTATTTTTGGCCACTGTGTGTTACAGAGTGTTGGACTGGATGGGCCATTGGCCTGATCCAACATTGGCTTCTCTTATGTTCTGATATTTGTTTCCCCATTGCCAGTCCTTACCTGCTTATTTCTCCCTCTCATCCCAGAGCTTCATCTTCATGACTGTGGTCTACTTCGGTCCCCTGACCTGCTCGATTGTCACCACCACCCGCAAGTTCTTCACCATCCTGGCGTCGGTCATCTTATTTGCCAATCCGATCACCAACCTGCAGTGGGTGGGCACCACTCTGGTGTTCCTGGGTGAGGTTCCGCATCCTGGCTCGTCTTCCCCTGTTTGTTTTGTTTTGGGGGATCTGTATCCCACTTCCCTGCAAAGCTCCCTCAAGCCAGAAGTCTTAATAGTCACGTTAGGGCTTCCTGTTGTCGGTCAGTCTGGTTAGGACCTCTCCTTGCACCCTTCAGTGGGAAGGAGATTGTTTTCTCTTACAACCCCTGTCCATCAAGCAGGACCAGCCTGCCAGGTCGCTATGATCAGAAAACAGGGTTGCCAGGTCTACTTACCTGGCCGGCAGGTGGCTCCCGACGTCCTTCCAGGAGACCAGAAGTGATGTTGGGTGACTTCCGGTAAAACCGGAAGTGCACATCCCCAGCACAATGATGTCACCCGGAAATGACATCATCATATCAGGAGTGATGCTCTGGTTTGGGGGTAAAACTCTATGGTAAATTGTCTTCAAGCCATAGAGTTTTACCCCAAAATCAGTGTCATCCCCCCCCTCCAGTCACCTTCCAGGTGACACCATCACGTCGGGGCTCGCACTTCCGGTTTTACCAGAAGTCACCGGAGAAGGTCAGTTGGGGGCAGGAGACTGGGAGCCCTGTCAGAAAGCAAGGGGGCCCAAAAGGCTGAATGTAAGATACTAATTAGTGGCCCCTGGTTTGGGGCTGTAACATAGTCAGTGCTGCCTCTGATACTAAAGAGGTTAACCCCTGCTGCAGTCACAGGAGTAGTTAAACCAGGCCAGCTGCCGACAAGACAGAGGCTTCTGCTTCCTTGGAGGACTCTCTGGGTGTGCGGAGAAAATACGACTTGGTAAATTAGTCTGACGAGGACTGGGCATGCTTCAGGAGGCACAGGATGTTCCGAGCAGCTGCAAAGTCTCTTAAAAGGGCAGGAAAACAGAGATGGAGAAATTGGCATGCTCAGGTTCTAGGGAATTTGTGCAGTTCTTTAGGGGGAGATTCGGGGAGGTGGACGGAGAGAATTTATTGCTCTTTCCCATGCAGTAGCTTGTGGAGGCCCAGCTTGCTATCACTCTAATAGCAGGCTTGCTGGCCCCTGGGCCTTTCAGTAGGGCAATGAAACAGGGCTGCTGGCAGTCAAAGGTTTACGCACGCTCCCATATATGCGGGGGGAAACACTAGTTTGTAGAACTAAAAGGGAAGTGCAGGGCAGAGGAACAAAAACTATCAGATGAGGGCTAATTATCTGTTGTTCAGGGCAATGGAGGGGTGAGAACACAACGGGGTGGGAAGGGGAAACTGATTTGATCAGGTGTCCTGGGAAGAGAGGCACACCAAGAAAACGTTTGGTGAAGGAAAGTGCAGCTGACGTACGTTGACCCCTCAAGGGTTTTCAAGGCAAGAGACATTTCAGAGGTGGTCTGCCATTGCCTGCCTCTGTGTCGCAGCCCTGGTATTCCTTGGGGGGGTCCCCCATCCAGATACTAGCCAGGGCCGACCCTGCTTAGCTTCCAAGATCTGACGAGACTGGACTAGCCTGGGCTAGGAGAATGTTTAGAACCTTTAAAATCATCTGACTGCTTTGAAGCTAGAAAGTGAATGAGGACTCAAAAGGATGTCCTTTCCTCCGCATTACTTTAAATCTCACCCACTCATACACCTATAGGATTACTTCAATTACCAAAAATGCAACAGTCCTAACAGCTTATAGTACCCTCATTTGCCGGAGGAAGTGGTAAATATTACCCATGTTCTCCTCTCTACCAGTCAAGTTCCTGTGTGCTTAGCTCCAAACATTCCGCTGCCAGCTTGACCAGGCATCTGTGCCCTAGTGCTAGCTTGCAGAGTTTCATGGCGACATGAGCTGGCAGCAACTAACCTGTCCCCTGCATTTGGGAAATTTTTGGATTTGCCTTTGAAACCATGCTGGGAGAAGGGATTTCCCCCATAAGAAGCCAATGCTGGATCAGGCCAATGGCCCATCGAGTCCAACACTCTGTCACACAGTGGCCAAAAATACCAGGTGCCATCAGGAGGTCCAGCAGTGGGGCCGGGACACCAGAAGCCCTCCCACTGTTGCCCCCCCCCCCAAGCACCAAGAATACAGTTCATCACTTGCCCCAGACCGAGTGTTCCTGTCTATACCTTGTGGCAGCCACTGATGGACTTCTGCTCCATGTGCTTATCTAATTCCCTCTTGAAGCCGTCCATGCTTGTAGCCGCCACCACTTCCTGTGGCAGTGAATTCCATGTGTTAATCACTCTTTGGGTGAAGAGGTACTTCCTTTTATCTGTTCTAACCCGACTGCTCAGCAATTTCATGGAGTGCCCACGAGTTCTTGTATTGTGAGAAAGGGAGAAAAGTACCTCTTTCTCTACCTGCTCTTTCCCATGCATCATCTTATAAACCTCAATCATGTCACCCCTCAGTCGTCGTTTCTCCAAGCTAAAGAGCCCCAAGCGCTTTAAACTTTCTTCATAGGGAAAGTGTCCCCCATTCCATTTGGGACTCCCAACTTGCCCGAATCTAGGATATGAAGGCAAGCTGATGCTCAGGGAGCTGGCACACCTTCCTTATGAGGAAAGGCTAAAAAGTCTGGGGCTTTTAGGTTGGGGGGGGGAGAAGGGGCATAACAGAGGTCTATAAAATTATGCATGAATTCGAGAGGGTGGATAGAGAAAGTCCCACACACACACACACACAGTAATACTAAAACTCTGGGGCACCCAGTGAAGAAAACGACAGGCGATAGATTCAGGATGGGCACACGGAACTACTTCTGTACTCAGCGATTGATTAAGTTGTGGGATTCATGGCCAGAGAACGTAGCAGTGGCCACTGATTTCGGTACCAGTTAATGTGTCATGTGAATACTTAATGCTGTGTGCTTCGTTTCTTTCTGGTGGTTCCAGGCTTCTAAAATCCTACCGCGTGAGTCATTTTGAGTCCCATTTTTTTGTGATTGTCCTGACTTGCTCTGTGTAATCCTCCTTGATCCCCGGTGAGAAAGGCAGACTAAATAACGTAGATAAAGTAAAATTAAATTTAAAAACAAGCCTAGATGGCTTTGAAGGGAGTTTAGGCAGATTCATGGAGGGGAGATCTGTCAGTGGCTACTAGCCAGGATTACTAAATAAAGGAAACCTTCATCACCAGAGGCAATAAACCTCTGAAACCCAGCGCTGGGTGATGACATGGAAGTAGGGATGCCATCCTCCAGGTGGGACCAGGGGATCCCCTGGAATTACACCTTGTCTCCAGACTACAGAAATGAGTTCCCCCGGAGAAAAGGGATACTTTGGAGGGTGGAGTCTACGGCATTGTATCCCACTAGGGTTCCTGGCCTCCCCAGGTTCCATCTCCAAATCTCCAGGAGTTTCCCAACCTGGATCTGGCAACCCCACCCTCCCATCCCCTGCCAGTGGCCAAAAAGGACCCGGACAGCCCTACATGGAAGGAATGGCCTTGGCCTCCATGCCCTCTTTGTTGGCCCTCCAGGCCATTGTGTGAAACAGGATGCTGGCCTAGACGGGCCACTGGTCTTGGTCCAGCAGAGCTCTTGCGTTCTTCGTTCAGCCATTCTGAGGGACAATCCCTTGAAACACTATTTTCCTTCGGTTTCCCTGCAGGACTTGGACTGGATGCCAAATTTGGGAAAGCTGCCAAGAAAACCTCGCATTAAGAAGTCTTTCGGGTCGCTCTCTCTCCAGAACCTCAAACATCACAAACTGTTAACTTATTGTCTTATTTCTCTGTGACCATTGTCGGAACGGACTCAGGACGGGTGCTTGGGGGAGAGAGGGATGGGGTTTTATTGGGTGCGAATGCGTGGGGTTTTTTATTATTATTTGTTTCTTGCTTTTTTAAAATTCCAAACTCTTATATTTTTTTTAGACGTTTTGGGATGGGGGGGTTAATTATAATCAAGGAGGTGAATTCCCCCCCCCCACGCACACTGCCTACACACACCCCAGAAGCAAAGTTGGGGGTCAATGGGTGGCCGCAAGGGGATGAAATTCTTAACAGAATGGGAGGGACGCTTCAAAACAAATAAAAAGAGGAGAACGAGAGCTGTGCCTCCATTTCTGTTCTCCCTGGTGTATTTTTCCACTGTGGTTTGTTTTTCTAAAGGGGGGGGGTCCGTAGCCCTGTACAGACAAACCCCCACACACACACACACACACACAATTGACTGAATGAGCAGGGAGGGAGCACTGGCACAAGAGCGCTGGCCCTATCCCCGCCTCTGCACGACCGTCTGCACTGTGCAGAGGAGGAGATTGGATTTATACCCCGCCCTTCACTCGGAGTCTCAGAGCGGCTTAAAAGTCCCTTTCCCTTCCCCTCCCCACAACAGGCACCCTGTGAGGCAGGTGGGGCTGAGAGAGCTCTTTCCAGAACTGTCCTTGAGAGAACAGCTCTGACAGAACTGTGGCTTGCCCAAGGTCATCCAGCAGCTGCAAGTGGAGGCGTGGGGAATCAAACCCGGTTCTCCCAGATTAGAGTCTGCGCATACAGTTCCTCCCCATAATCAGCAGTGCTTGGGAAGCAGCAGTGCTGATTGTGGGAAGGGAGCATACACATGGACACTTCCCATGAATGCAGCCAGGAATTGCACAGAGGCCAAGGAGGTGAAGCCAATGTGCTTATAGCTGCTCTCCCTGCATCTATACAGGGTTTGCGTAGAGTAAGCAGGAAATGTTAGGTTTGGTGATCCTATGAAGTGTTACTGTCTTGGGAATTGGGAGCTAAGGGCCTTCCTGCATGTGCGCAGGCCAGCCGTGGAAAAGACGTCCAGAGCTTTCTAGTAGGCTAGGAGCGCCCCTCTTCCCACTGGCGCTTTCCCGCTAAAATGACCAAGAGGAGGGCCACTACTCCCTCAGTTCTCTCCATGCCGCCACCGGAGACCCCTGGAAACTGAGGTGCCAGTGAGTTCACAGTGGGGCAGGAGGGAGGGATGTGTGCCTGCACAGAAGACCACTCGGTGAACAACAGTTACGGGTAAGTGTAACCCTGTTTCCATCAATGTGGCTCCCGTTCAGTCCCACGCGGGAAGATTAGCAAGCTCACGGAGTGAAGGAGGGTGGGCGTGAAGCTCCGAAAGGAAGAGACTATGCAGGAGCGCCTTCCCAACAGTTATTTCACGTCCCCCATTGTCCTTCACTCAAAACTGTCTTATGAAGGAGCAGGGAGCTCTGTCCAAATGTCCCAACCAAAATCACACGCTGGAAAGCGGCAAAGAAAACCAGCAGTGTTTTAGAAAAGAGCCTCTGTGTAATCTGCACTGTGTGGAGGGCCCGTCTGCACATACAGTTCCTCCCGACGATCAACAATGTTTGGAAAGTAGCCGTGTGAATCTCCGGAAGGAAGCATATGCCTGGAACACTTCTCACTCAGGTAGGCACTGTTCTCTCTAGCCAGCGATGGCGTGGAGGCAAGGCCAACATGCTTGTACCCATTCTCCCTCCCCGTGGGAGTCATCTGTACTGGGTTTGTGTAGAGCCAGCGGGAAAATGTTTGGTGGTCCTAAGACAGTCGTGTGAATTGGGTTTTAGGGGCTTTCCAAGTTGGTCTTCTGCCCTTTCCCAAGGAGATCGTTTTTATCGTGGCAAAGCTTGAGAGTCAGGCTTCGTTCAGGACACTGTAACTAAAAGCTGACCTCTGTTATGAATTCGCTGCTGTTGTGGCTTTGGAGAAATCGCAGCCTTTCAGTTTCCCATATGGAATGCCAGCCTCCAGGTGGGACTTGGGGATCCCCTGGAATTACGGCTCATCTCTAGACCACAGAGATGATGAAGAAGAAGAGGTTTCCATACCCCCTCCCCCATTTTCTCTACCCTAAAGAGTCTCAAAGCGGCTTACAATCTCCTTCCCTTCCTCCCCCCCCCCAAACAGGCACCTTATGAGGTAGGTGGAGGTGGGTTCTGAGAGAGAACTGGGACTGGCCCAAGGTCACCCAGCAGGCCTCATGTATCTCAAAGCAGCTTACAATCTCCTTCCCTTCCTCTCCCCACAACAGGCACCTTATGAGGTAGGTGGGGCTGAGAGAGAGCTGAGAGAACTGTGACTGGCCCAAGGTCACCCATGTGGAGGAGTGGGGAATCAAACCCAGTTCTCCAGATTAGAGTTCGCTGCTCTTAACCACTGCACCACGCTGGTTCTCATAAAGAGGTCAATTTCCCTGGGGAAAATGGCTGCTTTGGAGGGTGGACTCTAAGGCACTGTACCCCACTCAGGTCCCTGCCCCCCCCAAGCTCCATCCCAAAATCTCCAGGAGTTTCCCAGCCTGGAACTGGCAACCCTATCTCCCGCCAGTGGCGGGGGTGGGGTGGCATCCAGCAACCCTAGAACTATGGGCATCTTACCCTTCTGGGACCAAGAAAACATGCAAGGTCTTTTGAATCCTTTGCTGTTTATTTGTGTTGAATTTGGCTATGCTGAGCTTTTCATATTGGTCTAGTTCTCACTAGGATGTTAACAGTGAGGCACTATCATTTCAGACTGCAGGAAGGAGCTCACATGATTGTATATTCCTCCCTACAAAAAAACTCAACTCGTTCCACTTTGACAGAAAACCAGGCTTAGAATCCTTCTCCCTGACGCTGTTTCCTTTCTGCTAGGATTTTTTTTCTTCTTATAAGAAGGAAGATTTGACTATATGAACTTAAATGTATGACCTGCAGGGGTACATCCCTGGTTTTTATCACCTTGGTGAAAACCCTGTATGTGCTTTAGTAGAGCTTTAGCCCTTTAGGGTAACAGCAGAGATCAATGGCACAGGAGGCCCTGAAGACAAGTGATTGACTGTAGGTAAAGCACGGGAGGTTTCCTCTTATGTCTCTTTGCCTGTACTGTCATCTAAGTCGCCTGCACAACAGCTGGAGCTAAATAGTCATGTGTTTCATAAATTACTGGTGAGACACTTGGGAAATTCGGCTCCACATACCAAATCCCATACTTGTCTCCTTTTGCAAGAAAATAAGCACGAGCTTTCAAGGCAGGGCAACGGAAGTTGTAAAAACAGTAGTAATTTTCCGGGTATAATCACAAGGTAATTGTGCAGGAAGGCTTAAGTATATGTCCTTTTTTCAGCCCTCTTTCCTGTTTTTTACTTCGTCCACAGCCCCTTATGAAAATTTGGTACTCCTTATAAGAAAAGCATGATCTTAGTGCTTATAAGGAGAACGAAACTAGGAAAAGACTGTACCAAGAAAAGCCACCTACTCTAAAACAGTGAAGCCCAAATCCTGTATGTTACCAGTCCTTAACAATTTCACAGTTTTCTGAATGTCTTTGATATTCTCCCCCCTCCCCTCTGTATGTGATCTTTCCGTGCACACACAGAGAAATGTCCCACATAAATTGGGCTATATGGGGTCAAGCCTTTCTGGGATCACAATTTGGGGTGCAGGTGTTTTTTGCATAAAACTACAATAAAGACCCTTTTCAGGATGCTGAACTGCAGACCGGAAGGTTGGTAGTTCAGCAGTTAGAGACCCAAGTGCCACATGACGGAGTGAGCTCCCGTCTCTGGTCCCCGCTCCTGCCAACCTAGCGGATCGAAAGCAAGAAATTGCAAGTAGATAAATAGGTATCACTTAGGTGGGAAGGTAACTGTTCCGTGCGCCTTGGTGTCTAGTCATGCTGGCCACATGACCACGGAAATGTCTTTGGACAGTGCTGGCTCTTTGGCTTGGAAAGGGAGATGAGCTCCGCAACCCTAGAGTCGGATTCAACTGGCTTTCAAGCAAGGGAAACCTTTACCTTTTACAGTAAAGACCCTTTTCAGGAAAGGAAAGCACAACACTGCACCACTTTCAAAACAGATGCTTTTTACAGCAGGAAAGGGAGCTCCTATTCCCTTGCTCCTTTAAGTGAGGGATGCTGCGAACTTTGCCACGAACATGCTGTGTTGATAGTTTGTGGTCACCCGTGAGCCGAACCTTGAGTCTGTGTGCTTTGTGGCTGTGCAGTAGCTGCAGTGGTGGAGTTCCATTTCCTAGTGCTGCGGAAGCTGTTGTCACCCAAAGAGTAATTGACACGTGGGATTCACTGCCGCAGGAAATGGTGGCAGCTACGAGCATAGGCAGCATCAAGAGGGGATTAGATAAACATATGGAGCAGAGGTCCATCAATGGCTATTAGCCACAAGGTATAGATAAGAACTCTCGGTCTGGGGCAGTGATGAGCTCTGTATTCTTGGTGCTCGGGGGTGGCAACAGTGGGAGGGCTTCTGGAGTTCTGGCCCCACTGGTGGACATCCTGACGACACCTGGGTTTTGGCCACTGTGTGACATAGAGTGTTGGACTCGATGGGCCATTGGCCTGATCCAATGTGGCTTCTCTTATGTTCTTATGTCATCTATGCAGTAACTGAGATTATTCTTCTGAGTGGCATGGATGCTGAGGTCAGGTAATTTAAATGACATGGGTGGGGGAACTGTACAAGGCTGAGCAATGCCAAAGAAGGGGCAAAAACCCAACCCAAAATGGAATGGGATACCTAAAAGTTTGAGGTTATAAGCATACATAAAAAAGATTATACAAAAGGTATCTTTAATAATACGGTGCTCTTTAAAAGGTCATTAAAACCAAAATAGGCCATAAAGGTCACACACTGTGCAGTACACATTGCATATAATACCAGTACACATTACATATAATACCTTCATAATTTACAAGTACAGCACTCATATGCATACTGGGTGAAGGAACTGCTGTTTCTCCTTCAGTGGGGGGAAGTCATCCAGGAACTGGTTAGGTCACGCCTCTGCTCGCTCGATAGGAAGAGAAAGAACCTTCAGGTAGGTCCAATGTACCGATTCAGGATGATACCATCTCTCATTCCTTTTGGTGTGGCTATAAAGATCAGGAGCCAGATATAATGCTCTGACAGAGTACATGTGCCATAATATATATATTTTGGAATGACCCACAATATCTTACATGGCTAACTATGATATAGATTCCTTCGTACAGTGTGTATGTGATATTAAATTGGGACCGCTGAAGAAGACCTTTTTGGCTGAAATGTGTCTAATCCAATTTCACTGGTTTATTGGTTCCTATCGGTGCTACTAA